GAAAAGCACAAGAATGTAAAGGGTAATGATATAAATAAATTTAAATATTATTTAAAAATCGAGGCACAAAGCCTGGTAACATCTTATAATTACAAAGCAATAATGAATAAAAAGGGGAACAAAAAGAACCTCAAATGTCAACGTCTGACTCCGAAGCACCCATATAACCTTCGACTTCCTCTCCATGAATAATTTGGAAAGGATATAGCTAGTCAGAAGTAATTGAAAGGCCGAAATAAAATCTTCACTCATTTTCCAACATTTGGTCCTGGACCCGATACACAGACTCCACAACTTGCTAAAAAGACTCCCGAGTTTTCTATCGTGTAGCAACCATCTCTTCTTCAAAGCATTTCAAAGCCTTGATCTGGTCACCTTTCTTCAGCTAGATTTTTTTTTGATCTGCTTCTAACTCACGACACACTTCTGCTGCATCTCAGAACCTTATTCCAATATTTATCTCCCTTAGTAAGAAAAGACTTTAACCTCGTTATCTGAGCAGACAAAGTTGACGAAGAACCGTATCGAACAATCTCTTCATACAAAGAGTCAGCAAGCTCGGCCATTGCCCGCAACTTAGCCAGCTACTTCTCAGCCATAAAATTCTCCTGCTCAAGGGTCTTTCACTTCTCCTTCAACTTATCGCATTCCTTAGAAAGGTCGCTAGAGCCTAACACGTTATACTAGCCAGTTGCTACCATCGAAACCAAGGATCCGACCCTAAACAAGGTACAAGAAGCATCTCTAAAAAGACCCCACTTGTTAGCTACAGATAGACTTTGAACAAAATCCATGTCCTTAGTGGCTACAACAACAACAAATTCCTCTGGGGTGCTAGGTACCTAAGATGGAAAAATAGCAGGAAGCTGAAAGAAAGGGGTTAGAACCTTTAATACATCAATCTTTGTTAAATGAGCCCTTTTTGAAGGAGAGGGTGAAGTATCCCGAATAGAGAAGTCAACCACCATAGTGCTTAAATGTTCCACATCAAGTGTCTTGCCCAGAATAGTAGTCATTAGAGCATCATTCATACCTGGAGCCTGGACCACCAGAGCAAGAACAACTACAACAACAAAAGTTTCTGTCACCCGACCAGATAAGCTGACCATTAGACCCGATATTTGGCAAGTGTGAGAACCTTCTACAACTGATCCATGTTATTTAAAAGGCACAAGTTACACTTGTAAGTAAAAAGGTGTGCCCCAGGCCCCAATCCTCACCAAAGATTTTCTGTCGCTTGGAATGACTAGAGGCATTGATTATTGCACAGGGATCAATCTTCTTTCACTGAGAATATGGTACTTCATCAGGACCAGATCCCTCTTCATAGTCAAGCCCTTGATACCAAACGTGCAACTCCTCTTTCATTTTCACCTCCTTGAAAGATAGAGAATGCAACCTGGAGTAGTAAAAAGAAAGGGGTCAGGGATATGAGCTATGGTCCAATACTTACATAATATTCTCTTATAAGAACGAGTGTATCCTACCGGGTCTAAAGGCAAACAAAAGGAAAATGAGCCCTAGGAGTAACAAGTTTCACCAGTATGAAACGTTCGAGGATGTTACCCCATTCATTAGTGAAAAAGTGAACCTAGGGATCTAGGGGTGAAGAAAGATCAATCCTTGATCCTGTGCATCATTCTGAGAGATGTGGACCGCATAAAAAAGATCTAAAAATAGATCTAGAGAAGGTTTCCAATATTTGTGCTTGGCACAAAGTTGGAATACCTTCATATAAGTCGAATCTCTCAGATGAAGTTGTGAGGGGGAAACCTTCAGATGATTCATCACGGTTAGCTCGAAATCAAAAAAAGGCAAACATATACCTAACATGGTGAAGAGGCATTCATATAAAGGAACCGAACAACCTTAAAAAAATTTGCATATCTATCCTCTAGGCCTACTGGGTGAATAAACTAATTTGAGAGGTTGCCAACCATAATGGCAAAATTTTCTACAACTTCAACATTATTTAGGGTAGAATGAGTCTTTACCACTTTGGTAGCCACCTAATTGTATCAATTGGCATTACCTGACTCAACTAACTAAAGTCCTATTTGAGCCAATTCATCGACTTTAAAATGATCATCAAGACTAATCCATAACAAAATCTTAGAATGTCCTCGATACTCTAAATGCCATGAGATTTTAGCATCGTTGGCTCATGACCATTCATTCACATATACATTCGGACGAAGCTAGCAGCACGTTCCCTCATTTGATTAGCAACTTTTGTTTCAGCCTCGGTCAAGACAAGAGGAAGTAGCGGTTTCTCATCAAAACTCCCACCTCCATCGGTTTTCTTTGAAAATAAATCCCCTGAAGGATCCTTGGAAGGAGCTTTGTTTGAAAGGGAATCTCTAGACACTCCCTCCATTTCTAAATTACCAACCGATTTAAAATCTCCATTAGCAGAAGAAAGGGAATATGATTCAAATTCCATTCCTCTTTTTGAAGAATAAGGAATACTACTTTATGAATCCCTTTCTATGATAATATGGTTATTAGTCGTCTTAATAAAGAAATAACAAATGCTTAAATGAAAAGATGAAGTGAAGAGAAGGCGCCTTAAAATGTAAAGTCAAAGGCAGTAAAAAAAAGAAGGTCGAAAGTTGAAGTTTTGAAGATTTGAGGCTTTGAATGCATGACAATGGTTACTCTTTGAAAAACACTCTCATAGAAGATGGAAAGACTCAAAGTAAACGATGGAAACTCAGTCTACAAGATCGATAAAAAATTTCTTTACATTCCCCCTATCCTTAAATAGGCAAAGACAATAAGACAGATCGGATTGAAAGTAAGAAGCAGGTGCGAATCAACAGTCAGATTTCATATTGGGAACACGACTAGACTCAAGCGCACTCAAGTGCATAGTAAGTAGCGTCCCGCCGCTCTCTACCTTTTCAGGTCACACATCAAGAAAAAAATGGAAAAATGCTTCCACTATGGGACTGCATTTAATTCTCATGTTCCCCATAACTCTTTGGAAAAACTAAAGCGATGCATACCCACTAACACACAAATAACCATTCCTGAAAGCCGACCACAACAGCTAAAAGATTCCTCCAACACCCAGAGTTCTCGGCGAGCCTTGGGGCAATTGTTCCGTGTCATCGAAAGGCCCGGTAAGATGAGACTCACTTACTCTGCACGCTTCATTAAGCCCAGGTATAAATTCCTTAACAAAGGGTTTTCAAGTACACAATCTCTAATATTCCCATTCACTACAGTTTATCTTGAACCCCAACTGACTTGGGCGTTGGAGTGCTAACCATTCATATATCCTCTCAAGGTCCACTATATCAGCGATAAACAACGACGATTCAAGATTAACCTCACCGATTCTAAAAGCATTGAGATCGCAAACCGAATTACTCAGGAACCTTCACTCTGCCATAGTTTCTACAATCTCATCTATTTATGATTTTGCAACAGAACAAGGACCAAAGGAGGTCTAATGGCTGAACCATAAGGACATATATTTTAATTTACCCTCCAAATAAAACCATTTTAAGAACATTCTTGGTATTAATTATGGAGCTCCAAGTGGGAGAGTCTATAATGGTAATGTGTAAGAGAATTCAGACACTAGAAACATACCTATTTACTTACCCTAGGTCTCCAACTCGTTTTGTCAAAAGAGAATTGTTGGCATCTTTGAATGTCTAATTCTAAGGGCACCCATGATTTGCTCTTTTTTTTGGTAGGGAAGCAATATTGTGCCAACTAACTAAATTAATGGAAGTGTTGATGTGCCCTTTCCAAAAGAAATTATGTTTCACTCGGTCAATTGTGTCACAAATAATTCGGAAGAGCCACATGTTTTTCATTTAACAAGAATGTAAGAACAAAAGAGACACTCGCCAATATTTGGGGTTTGTCAAGAAGCTTATTTTCCCAAGAGGTCACGCAAGTTTGCATATTTTCAATGATGTAATTGAAGTAATTGTTCTTGATTATACCTCTAAGTATATGAAATCCAAGATATTTGTCCAAGGGAATGGTGTTTCGGATGCTTGATAGAGCACTAAGTTTTTAGATTCTGGCTCGAGGGATTATAGAGGACAAGAAAGTACGAGACTTGACATGGTTAATCTTCTGACTTGATGCATGACTAAAATGGTAAAAAAAAGTTAGTAATAAAATAAATGTGGGGTTTCTTGGCATTGGCAAACAAAATGACCTCATCTGCATGATGAGCTGGATCGTAATGGGTGAGAATTCTAAGTTTGTGAGAGAGATTAAAAGTAAATTTCAGTTCACATTATCAAATGCCTTCTTTAAATCGTGTTTGTAGGTGACATCTTATTTCTTCTTCGATTTCGGTATGATATGGACAATTTCCTACAAAATAATAACATTGTCAGACAAACCAATACCTACAACAAGATTTTTTTTTACAAAACCTATAAAAGTGTTAAGTAAGAGGGTTGAGACGATTGACAAGAACTTTAATAATGATTTTGTAGACAATATTGCATCTACTTATAAACTTCAGTTCTTTTAAAAGTGGATGGAAGTTCTACTTTCACAATGAAGGCTATTAAAATTTCACAAATATTATGAACAAGGTATCCTGTTGAAAATGCGTGGCTGATAAAAAATGATTGACATAAGTTGATATATTTAGTTTAAATTTTAAACCCAATACAAAAAATTTTGGCCAAATTTAATTTATGTTTGATATTGAAAAAACTATTTCGTAAAAAATTTTATACTATCTATAATCACAATCATTCTAAAAAATTAAACATGTGAAAAAATTCGTAACAAAAATTCTGTATTGTTTTAAAGTTATATTTAATTAATTTGTTTAGCTTTACTTTTTCTTTAATAAATATTTTCAACTTTACTTGCTTAGGCGGCAACCAAAGTTGTGTAAATATTCCGTATATATTTATTGGGCAAAGACGAAAGAGCAGCAGCGATATCATTTCATTCATATTAACAAGACAAACATCTGAGTTCAGTTTCAGTCTTTAACCTAACGTTCCAACACCATGTCCTCATCCGACGCCGATGATGCCGTACGACGTCGTAACAATGCCGTCAAAGATTATCGCAGAAAGCTCCTCAATCACAAGGAACTTGATTCCAGAATTCGATCAGGTTCTTTTCACCAACACCAAAACCCTAATTATTTCTCTTTTATTATTATTCACATTCTCTTATTTTATCCATTTTTATATATTTTTCGCTCTGCAAATTGCTCTTTTTTTCTTGTTTTTCATTGAATTTGTGTAATGCTGTACTCAGTTCGAGACAATTTGCGGAATGCGAAGAAGGATTTCAATAAAACAGAGGATGATTTGAAGTCTTTTCAGAGTGTTGGACAAATCGTTGGCGAGGTTTTGAGACCTCTTGATGATCAACGCAGTAAGATTAATTTATCATGCATTGAATTATTATTTCTTTGTCTCTTCATTGTGATTGTATTCAGTTTTTAGCATGTTTGATGATTTGGGTGTTTGGTGATTCGGTTAAATTTAGGTTATGTTTTTTTGAATTAGTTGAAATGGGATTGGGGTGGATAGTGTTCCTTTGTAGAACTAGAGTTGTTTGGGGAATGGTGAAGTAGAATCTTGGTATGAAGAGGGGGTGGACCTGCAAAGTTAGCACTCCAACGCCTAAGTTAGTAAGAGAATGAATAGTTATGTGAGAGTGAAGAATGAATTTGAGTACTTGAGAATGACACAATTTTTCTCGTATAGTGTGGGTGCGGGTAAAACCGTCTGATTGATCTCGATGGTGGATGGTACCTCAGGGGATGTAGTTGTTTGCTTTAGGCCAGAGTGGGGGAACACCTGTTTGCGTTCTCTTCCTTTGCTTTGCCTCTAGGCTTTTCGCCTTGGCCTTGTGAGCGGCCGTGAACAGATAGGTTTTGATTTTTTTACTACTTGTTGCTTATTAGAAGATGGGAAATCACTTTCAACTCACCTTCATGCCATGTGTTGTAAATTACTACTTGAATTCCATTTTCAAACTTCACACGTTTATGATTGTAGCAAACAAGTGCAAAGTGATTTGCATTCAAAGTTGTGTTGTCAACTATCTACTATAGCATAGTAGAATCTACCACTTTGCTATTGTTTCGCAGTGGCTATAGTGGGTCTATAGGATTGTAGCATAGTGGAATGTGAACAAATAACTATTTTCTGCAACCTGCAATTGACAACACTTATTCTAAGGGCTAGCTTGGTATGAAAATGTTTTCCTGTTTTCATACAAATTTTGGAAAACAATATAATACTTTTGTACTTCAAATTGAGGATAGAGAGGATTTTTTTTTTTTTTTTTAGATTTTCACCTTCACAATATTCACCTGCTCAAACAAGCATAACCTTCATTTATGCATTGTTGTTTTCCTTCTGTAAACTCTATTATGACTGTCCTTCTCTTATTCACAAATTGGTAGATTGGTTAAAGATGATCATCTAAGTCGTGCATATTATTTGAATATGTTTAGTGATTGTTAAAGCGAGCAGTGGACCAAGGTATGTTGTGGGCTGTCGTAGTAAGGTGGACAAGGAGAAGCTGGCTTCAGGAACTCGAGTTGTGCTGGATATGACTACACTAACCATTATGCGAATTCTTCCCCGTGAAGTATATACCATCCATCATCTAATCTCGGACCTTTTTTTGAGCTCCTGATAACTGTTTTTGCAGACATTTCATGTTTGTGTTTTAATCACAATTTGACAGGTTGACCCAGTTGTGTATAATATGCTACATGAAGACCCTGGAAATGTTAGCTACTCTGCAGTTGGAGGGCTTTCAGATCAGATTCGAGAACTAAGGGAATCAATTGAACTGCCTCTAATGAATCCTGAGCTTTTTCTTAGGGTTGGAATCAAACCACCCAAGGTAAGGATATATCGGAAACATTTGTATGACTTATGTAGCTATTTATTGAAGGAAAAGTGTAACTAAATTTACTTCTCACAGGGTGTTCTTCTCTATGGACCTCCTGGAACTGGGAAGACATTATTAGCGAGAGCAATTGCCAGCAATATTGAAGCTAACTTCTTGAAGGTTGTGTTTTGTTCTTTTTGCTCTGTGCACCAATTTAGGGAAACGTATTGGTCATTTTAATCAAAGTTATGCTTCATTTCAGGTTGTATCCAGTGCTATAATCGATAAATATATTGGTGAAAGTTCAAGACTGATTAGGGAAATGTTTGGATATGCTCGTGATCATCAGGTAGGATTGTAGGAAGAACTTTTATTGTGTCAAACTGGTTTTCATTATAAATACCTACTCAGAATTGATTTTTACTGTTTCTATCATTTTGTTTAGCCTTGCATCATATTCATGGATGAGATTGATGCTATTGGTGGGCGGCGTTTCAGTGAAGGAACAAGTGCTGATCGTGAAATTCAAAGAACCCTCATGGAGCTTCTTAACCAGCTAGATGGATTTGATCAGCTTGGAAAGGTGATTTCCCATCCTGTTTATTGTTCTCAAGTTTAGGAGATCTACACTTACATTTATTGGCTTTTTCTTTGTTGCTTCCATAATCTCCATGTAAAATATTGGCTTAACTTGGATGTTGTATCTAGGTTAAAATTATTATGGCTACAAATAGGCCGGATGTTCTTGACCCTGCTCTTCTTCGCCCGGGTCGACTTGATCGGAAAATTGAAATTCCACTACCAAATGAGCAGTCCAGGATGGAAGTCCTAAAAATCCATGCTGCTGGAATTGCAAAGCATGGTGAAATTGACTATGAAGCAGTTGTTAAGCTTGCTGAGGTACTGTAAAAAAAAGCTTGCTGCAGGAGACTAAGGATACTTATGCTTGTTGATATATATTTCAGATTCTTTTCCTTACGGTTCTATGTATTTTATTGACTTCAGGGGTTCAATGGTGCTGATCTTCGAAATGTTTGCACTGAGGCTGGGATGGCTGCTATTCGTGCAGAGCGTGATTATGTAATTCATGAAGATTTCATGAAGGTAAAGTGCTTCCATTTCATAACATTTAGTAGGATGCATATCTGAAATTCTTATCATTCTTACATCTTTCTGATCTTCCAGGCTGTGCGCAAATTGACTGAAGCAAAGAAACTGGAAGCAAGTGCCCATTACAATGCGGACTTCGGGAAAGATTAAATCATATTTTTTGTGGTACACCTATTTATCTAGCACCATCCAAAGAACTTTTGGAGCAAGAAGTGTACACTCCATTTTCATTGTTTGGTCTCTTCCAGCCACCAAATGACACATACTTTTTGCTTTGTAAGCTTGAATAGTTTTTGTTGGATTTGCAGTTCAACTATAGGTTAAGGTTAGATACTTGCAGCATCCAAGGTTGGCCTACCACATTCGTAGGTGTTAAGCAAAATATTAAGGGAAAACATTTTTAAATGTTAAGACCCAAAATGAAATTTATTTATTTATTTATTTGCTGCAAATTTGATTGGAATTTATTTGGCTTACAAAATTGATTACGTTAGTTGTTTTGATGTGAAAGGTTATCCTTCAATATAAAGAACTTGTATTCAAATTTGTTGGAGGCTAGTTATTTGAGTTCTAAAGCAAGGGTTTAGGCCGCGATACCCCTCACAGAATCACATCTTTCAAAATATTTGCATGACATTTGTATCTTTCTTTTAGTAAATATTTCAAAGCAAGAGAAGAAATCTATTGTTTATATATTAACTATCTTTTTTTCCCCCACTGTTGCTGTCTTAAATGGATGAGCAATTGGGAGGTCATATCAAGGGTGTTTAACAAACATGACTTAGAATTGCTACTTTGAAGTGTAAACAAGCAAGAAGACGTGATTTTGATTAAATTGAATTTTTCATAAAAATAACTGTTAAATTTGAGTTTAAAGAGAATGATTTTATGGTTACACAAGAGATACAAGAATATAGTCATAGGAATGTCGATCTTGCCAATCCTGCAGCCCATCTTTGAACACGCCTAAAATCACACTATCATAAATTAAATTCAAATTCATTCTTAGACGTACCTAAAATCACATCATCATAAATCAGACACACTTTCATTTTGTCAAAATATCTTTTGAAGGTGTATCTTCGAAAATAACATATTTTTTGAAAATGTATCTCCGAAAATTATTCGGGATGTGTCTGAAGATGTATTTCTATAAATTTTCTGAATTCATTTTAAGTTATTGAGTGCATGTTCATTGCATATAACAATGAATATTTTGAAGATACATTTCCGTGAACTCCTCTGAATGCTTAACATTGTCTTGATTTTGACTTTTTAGGCAAAATTATATTTTAGTTGATTTTAGGCCATAAATTAGAAAACTCATATATTAATTGATTCAAACAAACTACACATACATAAAAAAGTTATACATAACAATTGTTCGAATACATGATAGTGGATAACATTCTTGTTTTTGAATCAGTCATTATCGGGCTGTTACAAATCCAAAATCTTTCATTGTTTAGGAATTTTAAACACAGACGCTCTAGTAAAAAATACATCATCATCAATCGTGATTAAATTAGTTTAAAATAGATGTAATACAAAAGTAAATAAATATACCTCTTATTCCCAAACTTACCTAGCAGCATGATTTTCATAGAGATGAAGTAAGGAGGTGTCTAATGGGCCTCCTAGATAATTATCTACAAGAGCATCTGCATCAGCAGCAGGTTCTTTCATTGGCCTCATTGGCTTCACGGGCTTCAGGGGTGTCTTCATGGACTTCATAAGTAGATGTATGAGAAGTAGATGCATGTGACAGGCGACTACGGAAAGTAGAACCTGGTGGTTGTGAACCTCAATCTTGTAAACCATCAAACAAGATAACATCAACTCGCGGTCTCGCCCTTGACCATCTCATGTCGTACAGATGCGTGCTGGGACGTACAGGCGAGCCTAAGTTTGTCCTGGTTGTTTTCAGCCATTGCATATGTAATAACACCATAAAATCGCATCAAAATGCAACCAAAATGCAGTCAGATCAATACAAAAGGTATATCTCTGAAAACAGTATCGAGAAAATTCGAAGACGCGTCTTCGAATGAACTCGCGATTCTCAGCAATAGAAGAAACCCCATTGATATCCTAAACTCCTACCAAATGGGAATACATTTCTATACCAGCTACCTATTTAGAAAGTACTACTATCTAATTCATCTTAAAACATAAAACTAAAAAAAGAATTGAAACGAGAAACTTTCCAAATTAGTGTTTTGATGAGAAGCTTGAATGTAGTGAATAACTTTGTAACAAATGAAGTAGAATGAAGTGAGTGAACTTGAAGAATCTTGTAGAAACTTGATCAAATGGGGTTTGTAAATGACTTCGTAGCAAACGAACTCAAATGAATTTTTTTTAATGTTTGTAGAAAATGAAGGAGGAAGATAGAAAATGAAGGAGGAAGATGGAAGAGTCTAAAACGAATATATGACACAAACACGTTCGAACATGCATCTCCGAAAAATCACTAGATTTTGAATTGTGGTTTTTACGGAGATGCATCTCCAAAAAATCCCTGAATTTTGAATTATAATTTTTACAGAAATGCATCTTCGGACTCATCCTATTATTAATACAGAAATACATCTCTGGACTAAATTTTAACAAATTAAGAATGACTCAATAATTTGGATTGACGAATGTGTAATAAAAATGTGTCCGAAGAAGAATCTTCGAAATCCATGATATCAATAACTTTTCACGTTGGTGTGATATGTTTTTCCTCAATATTTGGAGTAAAATATGAGATGGTGGCCCATTTCACTTAGGATTACTCTCAACCCTTGTCAAATTTCTGAAAAATTTCTGAAAATACCTCACTTACACTCTTCAAATGCATCACATATTAGGAGAAATGCACAAATAACATTATTTGAATTTTAAAATCCAAACACACCACATCTTACAAGAGAATTCAAATTCACCTAACAAATGGTTTGAGAGTAATATTAAAGGTGCAATAAACAACCTCAATTTGTATGTAACACATTGATCACCTTTTATCACTTCTAATCAACAAAAATCACCTTTTATCACTTCTAATCGATATGGTGATAATCTTTTTTCAAAGAAATTTTGAAGTGTTGGAATGATAATTAATATTTTTGAAATTCTTAAGAACTAAAGTATGTCTGTTCTACCATATCTAAAAAATGTTAAATTCTTAAAATGTCCCAATTATTTATTTGCTGCATATTTCAAAATTTTCTATTCTAGTATAATTTGTTTCTAGGAACATATTTTTATTCTTTCATAACAAACATGGTTACATTTATTCTGACTACTCACCTTTCCTTATAAGGAAAGGTACATCTCAGACTTAATATTTTTAGTGATATGAACAGCAGTTCAATAAAAATGTCTGATATGGTGAGTTAAAATAATGTTCACAGTGCCTGGCGACACCATTTGAACTTTGATAAATAGATACCTAGCAACGGAATCGTAATACGCGTCTTTACGAACATCTAAACTAGGAATGGGCTTCTAAAGAAGATTACAGACTTGAACTGTACCCTGGTTAGCATCCATACTACCATTTCAATGAATCTAGAGCTTGTTGGTGAATCTGTGTGTCACCGGCTGCTACAACATTAAAACCTGTAACAGGCAATTCGTTAAGACAACAATGGAACCAAAGAGAGCAAAATCCATGTTTTTTTTATGACCAAAATCCATATGTTCTATTATGTTTTATCATGTCTGTCAAATACTACCTAAGAATGGATTAGAAATTAGGCAAGACTTTTAAAGGAGATGTAGAATGAGAATTTACTTGTTGCGATTGAAAGTGGCGACGCTTCCCAACGGAGTTGATGTCCTTTCCAATCAGTTATGACACCTCCAGAGCCTTCAATAACAGGTATCAATGCAAGAAAGTCGTATGGCTGTAAAACACAAAAGTTCGCCCAAGGAAAATATTCAGATAATGAGTACATAACAACCCATATACGGTTTTAATCATCTGAGTTTTTTTCTGAATAGATCACAAAAAATTCTTAAATGAAAACAAGCAACCAAAGATTGGACAATAACGAATACCTTCAGACCGGACTCAACTACAAGATCCACAAAGCCGGAAGACAAAAGAGCATATGCATAGCAGTCACAACCGTATAATGGAATTTTAACCTGAAGAGTGCAAAAGATAGAATAACTGAATGACGAAAATAAATTTAGATATATCTTTTGAGAAAGAAAATTGTATATCATCATTACTGTCAGAAACAGTCATCATTCATAGAATAGTTCACAGCATAGACATAAATAAGAACAAGGCAAATGGTAGTGAAATATTGTAAGCTGATAGGGCTAGAAATTTACATAGTGCATAGGATTAAGAAATCACTTGACTAGGAAAGGTGGAGTCAGCAATACACTACAACGATAGCTAGATTTATTGATAACATTAGTTGATTCATATGGCAATTCAATTCTGCTTGTTTTAGAAAACAAGACCTGTGTCATAAATGCCTCGTACAAATTTAACTAGTATTCTATTTATGAAAAACATTAGGCGTCAAAGTAAATACTTGATAGACATAATTAATCCATTTATAATGTTATGTGCACCATCTTTATGTTTACAATTTGGTAAAGAAATGCAACAGACCTTGTCTCTAACACGGATAAATGCCTCTTCTGCATCTCCACTAAAAAGATGTGGGCTTGTAGTGTACCTGGGTTGCGAATAAATTAAATTAAATCAGCTATCATAAAAAAAAATTGTGAAATCCATGGCAACCATGTCAAAATCAGCAGTTGATGAAAAAAATGTCAAGTTTTCTAGAAAATCCTTGTTACCCCTCTTCCCCTTAAGAACTGTTCATAATAAAAGTTTGCGAAGGAAAAAGAAGAAAAGCATACAAGTATGCTTGAGAAAGGTCTGCACAAGTGCGTGTGGACACTTCTTGTCCGTTGAGAGTAGTTTTCTTTCCAGTTATCCCAATCCATCTTTCTTTTAACACAGGTTGATCAATTATACCAAGGATCTGATGAAAAAGGAAACAAACTTAAAACATAAAGTTTACTACTCAATTAACTGAAAAGATAGCAAAACTGATTACAATTTGTAGTTCATTTTAATAACGTCCTCAGTTTGTATACTCAACTAACTGATTAAATTGAACAGACTATGATTTGTTTATAATATTAATGAAATCAATATGATTGACTATCCAGTTTTTCTTCACTCTTCAATAAGACATTCAATAATTTCAAAGGAAAATAAAATGACAGAGTCAAATTCTACATAGGCATTGAAGTGGTAAGAGATGAGATAATGACTTACTGGTGTGCCATTTTGCAAAAGAGCAATGAGAGTACCAAATAAGGGTTTCCCTGAAATAGATACAAATTGAGGAGTTAAAAAAGTGTAAGTTTGAGTACTCTGAGTGAGTCAATATTAATGAGGTTAAGGAAATATACCAGTGATAAAGCTCTTAGTTCCATCAATGGGATCTAATACCCAAACATAATCAGCACTGTCTTGTTTACACCTCCACCCTTTTTCCTCTCCATAACTGCAATTTGTTTGGTGTGAAATCCAGGTTCAGTGTTTCAATGATTTATAGTACAGAATCTACAATCCGGTTGCAAGTTATGTTTTCCTAGTTATTACTTCCAAAGTCCAAGTCAACATCAACAAAATGCAGAAACATTTTCAGTCTAAAATTCTGTTTAAATAAACAACTTAACAAAACGTTTATCATATATAAGCTCTTATTATAAGCAATTTATATAGCAAAAGATAAAATAAATTCACACTGTCTTTGTATAAACTATAAGTTGTTTTCGAAAGTTATTATGGAGAACTTATGGAAATAAGCTGAAAAACAATTTATGAAATTGTGACAAGTTGTTTTCATAAGTTCTTCCATAAGTTCTAATAAACCAATCCAAACAGCCCTAATAAGCCAATCAAACAACCCTAAAGATATGTTTGGATTGTCTTATTTGAGCTTATCTACCAGCATAGGTTTTGCAATTCTATTTGAGAGAACTTACAAAAACAACTTATAACATTGTTGTAAGTTCTTTTTTCAGTTTCTTTTCATTAGTTCTCTGAGATAACTTATAAAAACAGCTCATAGCATGTATAAAAAAAATCTAACTTTAATTTATCCTTTACTATAGAAATAGCTTATACTTCTCCATGATAAGCTGCAAGTAAGCTATTTATCCAAACTCTTCTTCAGTTCAGAACTGAAGAAGAACTATCACCATTTTTGTAAATATTCTAGAACTAATTTGTAAAAAAAAAAAAAAAAAAAAAAGAAAAAGAGTTACACAGCATGAGAAGGGAAATTATCAAGTAAGATTGAAACCATAGCTTCCTCAGCAGATTGATCAGCAATGGTGACAGGACCTGCGCGAGTGAATCACAATATTATTACAACAATCATGAAAGTCAAATATTGAAGAAATCGTGAGTAAATTACTTACTGAGATCCTGTTTGTGAATAATGTCGAAATTTTTTCTGAAATATTTACGGATAACATCTCCGGCAGCGTCGGCGGCTTTGTTAGCGACATCGGCGAAGTGAGTGAGTTGGTGAGGAGGCGAAGAGGAAGCCATGGCTCTGAGTCTGAGTCTGGAAGATGATGGAGAGGGAAATTTGTTTGGTTGGAGTTGGAGACGGAAGGATTTATCAGGAATTTGAGAGTGAAGAAGATGGCACTGTGATAGCAACATTTCAGTTCAGTTGCGGCGGAGGCTATGGCGGCGATTAATCAATTTCCCTATTTTTTATGGATTCTGATGCCGGAGTAGAGAACCACTTAGTAGAGTATACACCACCGGTAAATAATTATTGATTGAGAAAAAAAATTACCTTAACTTTAAATTTTTTGGATTAAAAAAAAAACCTTAACTTTAAATTTTTTGGATTAAATTAGCTTAATTTTAAATAAGGGTTAATGAAAGGTTTTTATCCCTCTAAATATTTTAGAATTAGTTTTTAGTTCTCCAAAAATTTTCTATAAGAAATTATCTTTTTAAAATTTTTAGTTTAAATAATTAGTCACTAAAGTCAAATACACTAATAAATACTTACGTGACATGACGAGTGAAACTTTTTTGATGAGTGGGCGTACACGTCACAGTGTCAGCGTGACAAAAATCTAACCTAAATGTCATGTGACAATTTTTTCCGTGACAAAAATCTGACGTAGATGTCACGTGAAAATTTTTTTCCATTTTTTATATTCATAAATCCATAATTTGTAGCTAATTCATAGGACCTAAACTTCATTTTTTTTCTTGATTTCCTGCTCTTCTTGATTTTCTCTTACAGTGGTTAGTTGTTATTCGATTCTGATCCGGGGATTATTAGCATTGGCGGAGCGGCATGCCGAGTATTTTATGTTTATGTTTGGCGAAAGGTTTTAGCATATGATGGATAAGAAGCAACACCATTTATAGTTTTTTTTTGCTGCTATAGATTTTGCAAAGTGAGAGAGTCTTTGTTATATCCTATAATATTCACGGAATATGGTGGTTTTTTATGTTGTGCTCGGTAGTTATCATGGTCATCTATCTTGTATATATAATTTCCATTTGGTTTTTTTCATATTGATTTATATTCTAAATTATACGTTGTTGTAATGTGTAGATTATTAGCCTTTCATTTTTTGTGTTACACTGCATTTGTCTGATATCTAATTGCTTAAATTCTAATATTCTTTTCAAGAATAGTCTAAAAAACATCTATAGTTCCTTGTCAGACGTATTGCATTGTATGTCATCTTATATGTCATCTACATTTGTCATTATCTCCTTGAAACTTTTTATTTGACCTTGAAGCTAGTCACATCCATAATTAAGATATCATACCTTTCAAATATCGCTTTTAAGTTATCATCATCTATTTTATATAGGTCTTACTTATTAGCTCACTTTACGTAGTAAATATTTCTGAAGTCTTCTTGTTTGCTTCTTATATGTTATCCACTCATTTCCTCATTTATTTACTTATTGCTAGTGATTAATAAGCCTTGACAAGGACTTTGTAAAATACGGGCAGCCAATGGTGTTTAACATATAATTTATTTTCAGATAAAGGCCATCATGAATGACTTCGTACAACCGAATCCATCGTCTTGGTGTTTATTGTGAAACGATGTTGTCAATAACAGAACAAAGTTATGAGATAAATATTGTGTTTCTTGAACAAACATAAAAAACTCTATTAGGTTTTACAAAAGGGAGAGAAGAAGGAAAAAAAGAATAGAGAATTGGTTAAAACTGTTTTACTATTCACTTTCTCAATAAGGGTTCAAAGATTACAAGTGAATACCAACAATTAACCTCTCTCACCCTAATTAGGATTTGTACCACTCCTTACAAAGATGAGAGACTGACATGTTATTTATAAGAAACTAATATACTAACCTAATATAATTTTACACACAAGCCCATTACACAAGCTAACTTAGGGAACAAGCTAAGTTAAACAATTGGGCTTACAAGCAAGGTCCAATTCGACATACTAACTTAAATTACAAGTTAATATATTTCGTCAACATGTTTGACAGAATTCAACTACAACATGCACAACTCCTGTCGAAATATCAAGCTACCCTTGTCGACACTAGAGTTTGATACAAAATACCACAAATATCCACCTTGAAACAAACTCTACACAAACAAGAGAATAAACTAGCTTTCATCATCTTTGATCCTTTCAACGCTTCTAACAAACCCTCTTGAACAAGAAGAACTTGCATCTTCAAGCGCCACAAACCAAAATCATTTACACCGGTGAATTTCTCAATCTCATAATTTGTTGACTACATCTTCTCCTTCACACTCACCGCACCAGTTTGTTGTGAGATGACATCGTCAATAAAAGAAAAAGTTATGAGATAAAGATTGAGTTTCTTGAACAAACACAAGAAATCCTATTAGGTTTTACAAAAGGGAGAGAAGAAAGAAGAAGAAGAAAGAATTGGTTAAAATTGTTTAACTATTCACTTTCTCAATAAGGGTTCAAAGATTACAAGTGAATATCAACAAATAACCTCTCTCACCCTAATTAGGATTTACACCACTTCTTACAAAGATGAGATACTAGCATGTTATTTATAAGAAAACATACTAACCTAATGGACTTTTACACACAAACTCATTACATAAGTTAACTTAGGGAACAAACTAACTTAAACAATTAGGCTTACAAGTAAGACCCAATTCGACATACTAACTTAAATTACAAGTTAATATATTTCAACAACATGCTTGAACAGACTTCGACTACAACATGCACAACTTTTGACAAAATATCAAGCTACCCTTGTCGACACTAGAGTTCGATCCAAAATACCCCCGTTGAAATATCAAGTTACCCTTGATTATGAAGCTACCCTTGTACAACTTTGTTTTATCAAACACATGATGAAGTCACAGATTTAAAATATCGGAACCGCTGGTCAAGAGAGGTAACTTTCATTTTTCTAGTTCTTAAATTTGCTACAAATTAGCTACGACTTTACCTACGAATTTTTAGGAGTTCAAGTATAATGTTGACCTTAGCCACGTGACATGTCACGTAAGCATCTTTGTCACGTTGACATTGTCGTGTGCAAGTCCAATCATCAAAAAATTCCACGTGACAGTGCCATATAAGCATCCGTTAGTGGCATGCTGACATTTGATGTTAGAGACTAATTTTTTAGACGGGAAATTTTGAAGGAACGGTTTCTTGAAGGAAATTTTTAGAGGGACTTAAAATAAAATTCGCTATATTTTAAGGGACCAAAAACTTATTTAACCCTTTAAATAAAATACTATTTTTTTATGGAATAATTGAAATATACTTTTAATAAAAGAATATTAATAATGGTTAAAAAAACAATAACAATAGAACTTTATCCTATTAAGATCTTGATGGTTGGTCTAATGGTGAAGACTTTAGTCATAGTTTTTTCCTCTCAAGACCTCACTTTCAAATCTTGTTAAGTATAAACAATTCTTATCTTAGATCATTGTTCATATAGAGCTTCAGTATTAGTCGGTAGCAAGTCGAATACTATTTTTTTTAAAGAACTTTATCCTATTAAGTTGGTTCATCATCTAAATCAATTTTCGTCATAATACTAGTAGAAGACCAATGTATCTACACGAGAAATAACACTTTTTATTCTAACTCAATCATAAAAATGTAATTTCATATAATGATAATGATAAAAGTATGGTACTTAAATAAAAATAAAAATAGAATAAAACAACGTAGGAAATTTAAAATATGTGATAAATTGAATTCTTAACCTGCATAATAATAAAATTATCAAAATATTACAAGAATGTCATTGTAAGTATGTGTTTTGATATCAATGAATGTTAAAATATGAAACTCCTCATAAGTAGGATAACTAAAATAATAGCATTGTTAGAAGGAGAATTAGTCATGATCATTAGAAATGCAGAATATATGGTATTGGGACAAAGCTTCTTAAATGACATTCCATAATCAAATGAGTGAAGATGATTAGTCATGACTCGATTGAATATTTTGCCCTGCTTAAATGACAAAATATTCTCGATGGAAGTTTAAATGAATATTTTGCAATTGAAAACAATAGGACAAATATTCAATTGCAAAATAGAAGGGTAAAGTTAAATATAGTTGAAAAAACAGTGATGGATCTTACCTCTTGAAGATAAATAATCCCCCCAATAGGTTTGACATCCCCATGAAGGAAAAATATCTATCTTCAAAATTCTCTTGGAAACCGGTTTGGTGCGAACAGGAGGGTGAACTAACTTATGATGGAATTTTCTCTCCAAATATGATTGAGCGAATTTTCATTATAATCGTAAAAGTGACAAAATAAAATTTATAAAGAAATGAAGTTTTCTTAATAGTGGGATTTCTTAGACAAGTAGATAGATGAAGAAACATACGTTGACATGAACTCAGTGATCTGAGAATGGTCATAATTTAGAAGTAATTTTGACCCATTTCATGCATTAGAGAGGTTCAACTTTCCAGTGGCTACAACAAAATAGAAAGTAACATAACAATTAGATTTAGTTGAATTGGTATTCACAAGAGCTGCAATTCATAATTTAAGGAAGTTACTTGAACTCAGTTGGCACTACGCATGGGTTAGGAGATAATGGTTGGTCCATTTGAATTCATTTTAGCAGCGTGAAACATAAATTGGTTGGTGAATGCCTCCCAAAGTGTAACACCAGTTTCATGTCCACTAATATAAAAAAGGATATGATTAGTATGACTAGTAATGAGGGAAAAACATCAACAAAAGTAATAGTATAAAGACCATTCATTTGCTAAACTGATGTTGGTGATGGACCTGTTCCCTCCGCCTGTAACTTGGGTCTTGACAACATTGCAGAGAACACCAATGACACCTGCATATGTTTAAAATTGGTTATTTGATGCAATCAAAAAATTAAAAATTAAAACAGGAATCATCTGATGAGAATACAAATGATTAATTGATGCGTGAAATTAACAATTAATTTTGAAAAAGGATATTTGCTATAAAAGATTATCGTATATTCGAACCACCTAAATCTATTTTTCACAATTTTCTCTATTATAAGTGATACCCCAACACTCTATAATATTTCAATTCTAATTATACCTTGTCTAATTTTACCACACATCCAACCACAGAAAATCTCCAAGGTGAAGAGTCTCTAATCAATAAAATAATGCAACAAGATAA